GTTTCACCAACTTTTATATTAACACAAATATAATTGGCAGCAATATGCACTTTTTGTTTGCATAAACATTAAAAAATAAGGTCAATACATTTTTAGTATTACTTTTGTATTACTTACAATACTTGTAATACTCTGTAAACAAAAGAATAGCAAATGTATTATTATTACAGTTATTATTATTAGTATAATTATTATTATTATTATTACTGTTATTATTATTTTTCTTCTTCTTCTTCTTCTTCTTCTTCTTATTATTATTATTATTATTATTATTATTAATTACAATAACTAGGGATTTCCCTGCATAGAGAATTAAATCTCGACCAACTCTGAGGTGGGTCTTAATTGAAAATTACTACTTCTAAGAAGTGCTGCACTTGGGGGGTTTCTGTCCGAACTGCAACTGCAGCATTATTGTGCCGTTGTGGCGCTGAACCCCTAATCAGTACAGTGCACCAGGAAAAACAGCCAAAATCACAGAGGAACTGCGTGACCGTGCTGTGAGCTGCAGACAGTGTAGAACTCACACAGTGTGTCTTCACCTGTGGAGCTGCTTCTCTAAAAGCATTTTAAAACTAAAACATAACTTAAAATTAACGCGCATCTGAGCTGCGGCAGAAACACTCCTGAAGTTTAATCTCTGAAACTCTGTTTTTCCTAAAAGCAACACGCAGCATTTACTCGCACGAGGTCCCGTCCCAAAGCACACTATCTTCCCTATGTAGTGCACTTCGTGGATCATGAAATAGCAAATCCTTCACCCAAAGAGTGCAAGAAACGTTCGACTAAGTCATCTATAATCAACATTAACAACAGGCTACAAAGTCCCTATTTAAAACTCAACTGCGTGTTAATGATGATCGTGTTTGTTTGAACAGTAGCGCCCTACGTAGGGGACACTGAGTGATTTGAGACGGTGTTATTCTCAGACAGTAAACACTGCAAGCGAGACGAGAAAGGGGAGCTGTGCAGATTGAACAGCGTCTCGTTCCAGAGCTCGTGTGACTGTTAACTCAGAGCTCATTTTGGAGACTCTGCTCCACAGAAATGTGTTAAAAGCTTTAGTTTCGATTCACAGTTGATTCACCGATTGTTTTTCCTTTTTTTTTTGACGCTAAAAGCTTCATTGTGTATGATTAACGAACCATAAGCATAGGTTAAACCGCACAAACCGTGACATTTCTTCTATTTCGAAGTCTCCACAGACTTCTGCGTTAAAGTTAACCTTGCATTCTCTAAAAAGTAGCGGGTGGTGGTCGTGAAATGACTCGTAAGGTTTGATGTGTTGCCCCCTTTCGCTGCTATTTTCTTTCGGCATGTTCTGCAGACAGGGTGGTCATCTTCAATTAACTTTCCTTCTGCATCCTTATAAAACTCAAAACATGACCAAACGTCAGACTTGGTCTTCTTAGAAGGCTGAAATATCTCCGAAATTATTTTTCACAGTTGTTAGCTTTCATCAAGCATATGTTTACATTGCATCTGTCAGAATGTAAATTGGATATGTTTTTAATTCATTTTGTTGAGGCAAATGAATGTATTGAAAAACAACAAAACGTTTGACAGGTGCTATAACACCTCTAGAGGGCAGCAGTGAGTAATGTTAGTTTATTTGAGCTCAAGCTGTGTCTGTTGTCAGTTTGCAGCTACTAAGTATCAACAGCCCATTTACCCACTTTGAGTATTTTAATATACTCTTATGCAAACATTTGAACACCTGAATTTAATACATAAGGGAAAAATAAAACATACGATTTGGCCTTTCCAAAAGTCATGGCACATTTTATATTTTATTTTTCAATATGGTAAACTCAAATAAACAAATATAGATTAAATAATTAATAAATAAATAAATAAAATGTGCATATTTACATTTGTTCCCTGTAGAGAATGTGTTAACTTTTTTTCTTTTAGAATATCAACAAAACAAATCATTTGATTTCTAACTTTTGCAAATGACCGTAGTTGCGTGCAATTGTAAAAAGGGCCAATTAATTTGTTAATCACAATTAATTGTCAGCTAAAATGTGCCAGACCTAAGATTTATGTGGTCACTTGTCTCAAACATTTACGGACAGAATTCAGAAGCTGCCCAGTGGGAAGTCAAACGCTTTTCTGTTCCTTTCCAAGCACAGGGAAACACGATGACATTATTGATGGTTCATTATAGATGCAGCTGATGGAGATTAGGTTGAAAACGCTGGAACGCTGTTTTAAAATTCAGCCTGCAGTTCCATAGAAACAGGGATAAACACAAGCTGGTGTGTAGGTTGTAATAGTATCTCCTGTCTGTCCCAGAGCACTTCCCAGAGCAAAGGCAAAAAGAGCTCATTGATTAGGCCTGTTTCTTGACATTGGACTGGTCAGTCAGCTGACAGGGTTTGGAGGTCTGTGTATTGATTGCCAGCAGCGTGTTCATATCATCCTTTCGTGTCGGATAGGGTTACCGGCCAAAGTAGTTCTGCAGGAGCTTCGATTTGAGACGTTCTGCATGTCCTCGGTGAAGAAATCTTGTATAGCTTGTGTAGCTTTCCATTAGTGGTTCAAGGGCCCATAGCCTACGTTCTTCCTGTGTTTTACCCCCCAGAGATCCACTTATGGTTTTATGTACCAAAAACAGCTATAATTCTTTTTTACCTTTTTTGCCTTTGAGACTCAAATATGTAAGTGACCTCTGCTCTGATTGGTTGTCCTGTATTATGCCTTATTCAAAATCAGTCCGGGCTGAAACATTCTTTATAGCTTCAGTGTGAATGGGTGGGGCTAACTCCTGTAGGCTGATTAGGTGGATATTTGCAAATGTTTGCAAAAAAAACACCAAATTTAAAAGGGGCTATTTTTGCATTCTCATTTCCGTCTATGGAGCTTATGCACTGGGGAGTGAACGTACATTTTGAAACAGTGTTTATGTAGTATATCAACTTCTTTAATTATAAAAAATGTGTGTAAAAGCGTTTTTTCCCATTAAATGGGCTCTTTAAAGTGATTCTGTTTGGCCTGCTTACAGTTTGGTTTCTCTAGGGAGGCTTTTTTGTTCATTGACAGCCTGTTAAACATTTTCTCTTGAATAGTTAAAGCAACCATAAAGTGAAATTGCCTGTCTGGATCATGGTTTACTAATAAAACTCCAGCTGTCTTAAGTTCAGAAAGCAACGTTTGCAGCTTGCCTGTGGATTTGAATGGATTGAGCATGATTAGTGAGGGTGAGGGTGCTTTCACACCTACCTTGTTTGGTCCAGACCTTTGGACTTTTGAACCAAAACAGCAGGTGTGAAAGGTGCCTCGGACCACGGTCTGAACCAAAGCACCAAAATTTGGTCCGATCAAAAGAAGTGCTCTTGGTCCAGTTCAAACTGAATCGTGATTCAGTTCGTCTGCAGTGTGGAAACACTTTTTTGGATGGTTCGGACTTTTGGAGCAGTTACAGGAAGTTGAGGCCACCTATCGTCCCCCATTAACCAACAGAAGAAGAAAAAGAACCGGGAGAGAAGTAAAATGAGCCTCAGTAGCACACGGGGAGAGGAGGAGACGAAGTAGTAAAAATGCTGAAACGTCTGCCTTATTTTCTGAGAAAATATTCATTTTTCTCCATATTAAATGGAAAAGGCTACCTGTTGAATTGACACCACGCCGACGTCAGACACACACACGCCTCTACAAACCAATCAGTGTCCAGTATAGGGAGACGCAGCCCACATGGTGATGATGACAGAACATAGGTTTGTCATGCAAAATTCTTTAGTGCGCTCGATTAATTGCCATGTGAAACCAAACTAACCAGATCAGTTGTTTGCAATGTAACAAAAAACATGAACCTTGGTCCAGACTTTCACGTGAGAAAACGCCTGATAAACGCCTGAAAATGAGTCTGATACTTGCTATTTTTGAAGAAAAACACCATCATGACAAGCACAACCGCCGCCGTGTATTTTGTTGCATTATTTATATTGTTCCTGTTTTATAATTCATTATTCATAATGTTTTCAGAGGTACAAATTCCCAGGACTTTTGGAAATTCTTAATGCAGCCTGTAACAGTGCAGTCCGGGAAAAAAAACTGCAGTTTACTGAGTGTGCAGTGTTTTTCTGCATGCATTAATGTTAGTATATTGGCTTTTCAGTTCCACCTTCTCTTAAAGCAGAAATCCACTGAATTTCCAACATTTCTGCCTGATTAAACAGACAGTATGTCAACAGAGTCATTCAGAGAGGTCTGATGTAGAGAAACTTGCACAGTCAGAATTGTTCACAGTGGTGGTGATATGAACCAGACATCTGAAGAGTTGAATGCTCCTAAAAGCTCCTTCACTGAAAGTTATTGCATGAAATGGTTACACATAGTGTGGGCTAATAAGAATCAGTCAGCTTGGCTGTTAAGAAATCCATTAAAACTCTCGATTGTTACACCTCTGACATTATTGTAACGCAATGAGTGCGTTTACATGCACTTAATAATCTGATCACCATGCTCTGATCTAGAAATCCAATTAATAAATCTGATAAGGAGGGCTGGATTTTAGCTCAGTAATCAGATTTCCAGTGCGTGTAAACTCTTACTCGGATTTCTTTCGGATTTCTCAGTCTGCGCATGTGCGAAACAGATGGCAGTACCAGAAATAAGCGAGCAGTGTCACCGCAAGACGTAGCAAAACACTTTGGGAGATACAAAATACAAAATAAAGGATTTAAATATTCTTCATTTTCCTAGATGATGTATGTTCATATTTTCAGGTAAAGTGGCGCGATGAGCTGCGGCATGAAGTTTGAGTTTTACGTTACGTTTACGTCACTGTCTGACTCATGTAGACCCAGTTTTTCTCCGGTGCATGTGAACGCGTTGATCGAATTACTGACAAAATCTGATTTTCTGCAGTTATCAGATTATTAAGTGCATGTAAATGCACTCAGTGTTATTCCAAGTAATTCATACTATTTTTATTGCTCCACTGAATTTCTTCATGGACACTCTTTTCATCTGTTGTTTTTATTGTGCATTCAAAGGATCCAGGAATTCAAGGTGGCTTTGGGTGAGGAGAAGATTGACCTGAAGGCGCTACGGGAGCTCTGCTTTGGCGGTATGGGCTTTTTTAACATCTGTTTAACGGCTTTACTCCCTCTTCCTACAGCAGCACTACACCACACTGTTTATGTTTTTTTTTAAAAATCAACCAAGACATCTGTCTGTACAGCTGTAATATTTTTACTAAGAAATGTAAATAAACTTGCTTTGCCTTCTTCTGCCTTCTTCCATCCACCTCGTGCCGCTCATAAGGAATTCCATTTGAGGGGGGGATCCGTTCTTTGTGCTGGAAGGTGAGTCTAAATACTTCTACCTTTAAAAAAATCAGGTTCACACAGTTCACCCCAAATATAGTCGATCACCAAAGACATGTTTTGGCTTATTTAGTTTTGCACTGGAGCTACAGTAGCTAACTTAGCCTCATAGCTCCATTGCAAAAATAAAAAGAAGTAAACTACAGCCAAACATTCTTGGCTGAGTGTGTACGTTTTGGAAAACGTGGGCAAACTGTGTCAATTAGATTTTTTGGCAAACTTTTAAGTCTGCCGTCTTGTAGCAGAACCACTTTTCTGAGTTTAAAGTATTACTTTAACCCCTGTGACCCTTCACTGTGCCAGAATGGGATGACAGAGTGATCTCTGTAGGAGATATGAAACTTTGAGTTATTATAGTTGCAATAAAGCTTCTGGCCCAAGCTTTGAAAATTCCCTAAGTCATCTGAAAAAGTTGGCATTCACAATTTATATATTCAGTATATATCAGAACATACCTGAGTACAGAATGTTGATGTTGTGCTTTTTCAGATTTTGTTGAACTACCTGCCCCTGGACCAGACACTATGGGACTCTTTCCTGAAAAAGCAGAGGTAATGTAGTAATGAATCAGATTCTTGCTGTCATGACAAAACCTCTTATGTCCAAAATGGCAGCTTTACAGCAGAAGCAAGAAAAATGTTCTTAGCTTTTAACGGAAGTCAGTGTAAAAAGATTTTATTCCAAGTAATTTTTGAAGCATTTTATTTATTCATTCATCATGAAATATTCACGCTATGTAAAGTTCAGCTGGCACTTCCAAATGTTGTAAGAAAAAATAAAAATTAAAAACAAGAGTTAATACAAAGTTTTGTCCCACCAGTGATGAGTTGTCGACGATATACACACTCCTGTGATGCCCCACAACAACTGCATCATATATTACTATGCCATGTCACAAAAAACCTGTGTGCTGTTAATGGAATAATCTTTGACTCTCATGCTGCTCTCATAGACCACCGAGTATATTAATAAAGTAAGAGGCGGTTTTGTGTTTAAACTGAGGGGCTGACAACTTATGTTCTTAACCAGAACTAGGCCGGTCAGCTAGCTAACAGACTAAAAGATAGCCGACAGGCTAAACAACTCCATCACTAATATCACAGGCTTGAATTAACGTACTTATGGTATGATTTACTGTAAAACGGCAGAATAAATGTCTAAAAATGTCACTTGAATGGATTTGACGCTTCAAATGTTGGTGTTTCAGTCACACACGGCCTCTCGTGGCTTATTGCTTTATTAACCATCACAAAGTTAATGTTAATTTTTTACTTAGTAATTTTATTACTATTTTATTAATCATTACTAATAAGCTACTATTCCTATTTTCTGCTTTTGTTATTTTAGAATACAGGGGTGGCGCAAAACCTCCAAAAGTGGTGGGGGAAGACGCATTGTTTCAAAAAAATAAAAAAATAAATAAATTTGGCTGGCCAAGTGACAAAAAGACAGAAGTCTAATCAAAACTACCTTTCATGTTATGCTAATGGCATGTCTCTGTAAACATATGTTCCATATTTAAAACCTATTTGTTTTACCTGTGAAGAGTGTCAGTATTTTTTGTTGACTCACTGCTTCACTGGGTTCAGCCTCAGTCAGCAAACTCTGCTAGTTACCATCTTTGAGGAACATCACACTCCTTTCATACTCGGCTCATTTTCCACCAGAGTTTGGGTTTTTGTGATATTGTATCTTTCTCATTTGGTTCAGTTGGTCTCACTCTGGGTCTACAGTGGACCTAATTACACGTGTGAGTGTTCATTTATTGGTCAGAAGTTTTGCAGGGATACAAGTGCTCTGTTACTCTCATGATCGCCACTGTTGAAAATAGGAACATAGGAAATAAGGCTGAGCGTCTTTGTATCACAAATAAATCAGTAACAATAAACCTTCTTCGATATCTGCTTTTTTATTATCGGTTTGCCAATTTAATCAGTCAGGTCACTGATGCTTTGCCAAAAAATATGTTTCACGATCTGTGAGCCAAAATCCAAAATCGTCTGCTGTTATTACACAGCATTTGAAATGAGCGTTTGTAAAGAGTAAAATGTTAGAGCAGGCAGATTATGATTATGATTATGATTATGATTATTATTCTGATGTTGAATTCTCTTGTTTTATTGGGACCTTTGTAAAAGCTCCTTCCCACCAGCAGCAAACTGAAGCAGGAGTCACTTAAAGCGATAAATCCAACAAAAACAAACTGAGGCCGAGCGCGTTAGCTTAGTGTATTGCTGTAAAACATTCTTACCAGATTAGTGAGCTGTCACTCACTTCCAAAGACGAGCTGTTTTAGGGTTTACTGTTTGACAGATGTCCCAGTCCAGCAGAAATGGAGCTTTTGATTGGTTCTGCCGCTGAGATTGACACTTTTCCTGTGGATAGGTCAGTGCTAGTGGTTCGTCGCTCTAGAACAGGGGTCGGCCACATGCAGCTCTTATACTGCCCTGTTGTGGCTCCACAGTAGAATCAGATTTGTAGGTAAAAATAAAATAATCCTCCTTTGCAGTAAAATAAAGCTCTGCTGATCGTTCTAACTGTTTTAACAATAAATGGTCTTAAGCGCTGGAGTTGATGTAGCCTATTTCTGCTAATTCATCCTTTAACCCTGAAGGCTGGCGTGCAGACTGCTGGTCACCACAGCAATGCAGACAGCAATCTCGCCTAGCTGGTAGCTAATAAAAAGGCAAAGAGAAAGATTTAGAGACGAGTTTACAGACTTATTTGTGTTTATAATCACTCTGCAACGAGAAACTGTCAAACTCGCAAGAGTGAAGTCAGCTTCTTGTTCTGATTTTCCCGTTCCACCTTAAATAGTGCAGCAGTTACATTCTGGAGCCTCAGGCACCTTTTAAGGTGGAATGGGAAAATTTGAAAAAGAAGCTGGCGAATTAGAATCTGACTTCAGCCTTGAAATAAATAAAATCGATCATTAGAGACATTTTACAATAAGCTGTTGTACTTTTGAGGAAAAGTTTCCTGCCGGAGATGCAAGAAAAGCGGCTATAGCTGTGCTAAAGCTTAAAGCAGAGCAAAGTAAGTCTGCGTTTTTGTTTAGCTATATTATATTTTCAGTCTGTACTAGTACATTAGCACATACTGAGACATATTTACAGCCAAGATGTTAAAATGAGCCGAATGCCCTCCCACCCCTGTGGTTCCAGTGGCCCTGTTAGAATAACAGTCACTAGTCTTTAAACTTTTAAACCTGAAGCTTATGCTCATGTGCTCTATTGTGAATGCTCATTAGATTAACTAATGTAAGATAACTTAGTTAATGTTCATAGTAAGCTAATTAGTTACCTTACGTAGCAAATAAACCGAGTGAAAACTTCAGCACTGGACCTTCTCTGTGTAAATGAACTTAAAGTATTACTCTAATTAACTCTATTTTTGTTGTTTTTTTTCTTGCTCAAGTAATTTTCTTTTAGCATTTTAATTGTGCTGCGTTCTCGCTGTAGCATTATTACTATTGTTAACAGGGTCTTCAGAACACATTCCATGGACCACAGTAACTGACACACACACACACGCACTATTTCCACATAGCCACTTCTACTTTCTACTTTCTTTCTGTGTACTATGTCGTTTCTTAATGCTGTTTCCGCAGCTCAAAACCAGAGCAACCTTCCATTTGCCATTTTCAGAGAAGTCACATGTATCAATATCTCCTAACTATGACTATGTGAATATCTACCCTTAGCTGATGTTTTATTAACCCAGTTCCAAAAAAGTTGTGACAGTAGGAAAATGTAAAATGTAAAATGTTGCACCTGTATTTGATTGAAAACAGTACAAAGATGTGATATTTAATGTTTCAACCACTTACCTTTTATTGTTTTTGTATATATACACACCATTCAGCCATAACATTAGTACCACCTCCTTGTTTATACACCCATTGTCCATTTTATCAGCTCCTCTTACTATATAGGTGCACTTTGTAGTTCTACAATTACAGACTGTAGTCCATCTGTTTCTCTGCACACTTTGTTACCCTGTTCTTCAGTGGGCAGGACCACCACAGAGCAGGTATTATTTGAGTGGTGGATCATTCTCAGCACTGCAGTGACACTGACATGGTGGTAGCGTGTTAGTGTGTGTTGCGCTGGTACGAGTGGATCAGACACAGCAGTGCTGCTGGAGTTTTTAAACACTGTGTCCACTCACTGTCCACTCTATTAGACACTCCTACCTTGTCAGTCCGCCTTGTAGATGTAAAGTCAGAGACGATAGCTCATCTGCTGCTGCACAGTTTGTGTTGGTCATCCTCTAGTCCTTCATCAGTGGTCACAGGACGCTGCCCACAGGACGCTGTTGTCTGGATATTTTTGGTTGGTGGACTATTCTCAGTCCAGCAGTGACACTGAGGTGTTTAAAAACTCCAGCAGCACTGCTGTGTCTGATCCACTCACACCAGCGCAACACACACTAACACACCACCACCACGTCAGTGTTACTGCAGTGCTGAGAATGATCCACCCACATATTACCTGCTCTGTCAGGGTCAATGAGGTCTTGACCACTGAAGAACAGGATAAAAGGGGGCTAACAAAGTATGCAGAGAAACAGATGGACTACAGTCTGTAATTGTAGAACTACAAAGTGCACCTATATAGTAAGTGGAGCTGATAAAATGGACAATGAGCTTAGGAACAAGGAGGTGGTCATAATGTTATGCCTGATCGGTGTATATTTACACATCCTCCATATAGAACACACTTAAATATGGCATTTTTCTGCAAAATGTTTTCTCCCAACCAGTTAAATAGAGTAAATAACCAGTAATTGTGCACAGAAATGTGCAGATGTGTTCTCTGTAGAGGATATGTTAACTTTTCACTTCAATCAACAAAACATGTCATTTGAGCAGAGGCACCTAAATTTACACACACAACAGTATCAGTAACAGTTTCAGTGCAAAAAACAACCTACTGGTCAGCTAAGCTGTGCTGGACATTGTAGAGGATGTTTTTACTTTAAACTACATGGCTACACAAAAAAACAGCAGTTTTACCTACACACACAAATACACACACACACGCATACACAGAGTTCAGTGCTGCTGACTTGAGCGTTACTGCAGCTGCTGTTCAGCTTCTGCTTTAATTATTTATGATTACCCACAGCCCTCGGAGAGGGTCTTGTAGTTTTGAGTAGCTGTGAGATGGTGAACCATAGTGTTAGATGTTTAGATATGTGACACATGGTACAGATATTCGTTTACCACAGACAAAGAGGGGGGGGGGTAGTATCAGAGCCTTCAAGTCAAGTGATCTTTGTTGTTCCGTATTATACAACAGTTTGTTCCGGCCACGCAAGCTGATTGGTTGAGAAGCGTTCTAACCGTGCTGATACTTCGCCACATCACGTTTTTTTCCCAAACGCTGTATTACTCTGCTGAGACGCTGTTGCTAAGCAACGACTTTGACAGCTGTAGGAGACGCTCAAGACATTTGAACATTTTTACTTCTTACTTTAGGCACGAACAGAAAATGGATTTTAAGATCACATTTGACCGACAGCCGATTTGGTCAGACTCTGAAGATGAGACCACACTAAATTCAGAAACTGTCATCACCACTGAGCAGCTTTTCAGTCGGCAGCTGTAACGTGAAGAACACCAAACAACCTGGAATCAGCCAGAAATGAACCCAATACCATTCGCCAAACTAAATGGGCTGTAAGATGCTTTACAGACTGGCTGGAACAAAACAACATTAATACTGATCTGGCAAAAACTGACAAAACTGAGCTAAACTTGATATTGCGGCAGTTTTATGGCTCAGTCCGATTTGGTCAGACTCTGAAGATCAGACTACACGTTTGTTGAATGGTATTCGGTTCATTTCTGGCTGATTCCAGGTTGTTTAAATGTTCTTCAGTCACAGCTACCGAATGAAAAGCTGCTCAGTGGTGATGACAGTTTGGGAATTTAGTGTAAGCAGCTGGAGAACGAACTGCAGGCTGTGCAGCGAGTGGGTGGAGTTCGTTACTCTGACGTAGCAACAAGCTGCTTGTTAAGGAACTATAATTTGGTGGAAGGAACTGCTAACATTAAAACATATTAAATGCCGCCTTCACGGCCCAGTTTATTAATTTATTACTTTATTCATTTAACTGTTGTATAAAAGCATTAGAACGCTCGAGGGAGTGTGTTATCGCGAATAACATCACAGCTGTGATTTGGTCGCAGGCACGAGCCAAAGGCGATAACACACTCCCTCTCGTGTTCTATTGCTTAAATATAACTTGTATACATTGGAACCAAATTTTGTTCTTCAGGTCCCAAACACACAATAGCAGCACTTTACACAGTGCAGATAAGTGATATTTATTTATTTAAATGAAGAATTCCAAAGTTTGGAGTCACATTTTGTTGTAGTGTAATAATTTATACTGTGTGCCAAAAGGTATTTTTCGACATTTTAATCAGTAAAAGTAGTGAAAAAGTAAAAAAGTAGTGATTTGAATACTATACTATAATTATGTATTTCCTTTTTTTTTTTTTTTTTTTCTTTTTTTTTCTTTTTTTTTGTGTCACATTATCTCCCCTGCACGGAGCCCCTAAGGGGCCGTGGTTAAAACAGTTAATGACATTCCGTTCCCTCGCAAATGTTTTGCATTCCCTCGTAAAATATATGCTTGTCAGACAGGATGCAAGGTAGGACCAGAGGTGCCCAACGACACATTAGAGCTTTGTTTTTAGCATAGCTAACGTTAAAAGCCGGTTTCCCAGTTTCGCCAGTCTGTGCTGAGTTCATTCAGCAATTGTTCTCTGTAGTTTCTGTAAATGTAGCTTTTACTGTATGAGGACACTCGACCTCAGTTTCAGTTTGAGTCACTAATAACACAATCATGTTTGATTTTGAGAAGCGACATGTCTTTATATTTTAATCCAAGATCAACATAAAATTCAATGAGCTGCTCCGTCTCTGAGCTTAAGCAAAGCACAGCTTTTGCAAGCAAATGCAAACAGTGTGCGAGGGAACGCAATGTCATTAACCTTTTAAGCTACAGCCCCTTAGGGGTCCCGTACCCTTGAGATTTTATCTCTACTTTTGAAATTAGATGTATTCTGGATATTAATTCTCAAGACTATACAGCTTTATTGGTCATTTTAGTGTCATCTACAGCTCTGTTCATCACTGTGGACACATTTAGCAGTTCTTCATTTTTATTTACAGCTTTCTACTAATTATGTAACACCTGTACGAATAGTATATTAAAGTCATTATATGCTTTTATCAACAACCAATTTACTTATAACCAAGTTAGTTTTATAATGTTGAGGCTTTTTATGGTACATGCAGTTGTTTAGTGTTGTAGAAGTACTGATGACAGCCGTACACTCAGAAGAGCATATCGCTGCTGTCAGAACGAAACCTCGTATCTCCTAAAAGGTAACTTTACAGGACGAGGAAAAGTCGTTCTTAACTTTTAATGAAAGTAAATGGATACATAATTTTGAACCATTTCTGTTGGTTCATTCAGCATGAAAGTTTGACACATCATAAAGGGAAACTGGCCTTTTCAAATTATGTTTAAAAGAAAAACAGCAAAAATGGAGATACGAGGTTTTGTGCCAACAGCAGCCATATAGTGATGTAATTTATCACAATAATGAAAACATTTTGTTATATTGTCCCCCTCTATCTTTAGGGAACACGTATACATATTGCTGTTGATTGATTGTTTGCTAAAATGAGAGAAAAGTGTTTTGAACCACTTTTAGTCGGTATACTAATACAGTGGTTCCCAGCCCTGGTCCTGAAGTACTTACTGCCCTGCACATTTTGGCGTTTCCCCTTTTTCCAGTGCACCTCATCCAACAAATCATCTTATTAACAAGCCCTTCATGACTTGAAGTGGGTGTGCTGAGAGCGGGGAGAACGCTGAACCGTGCAGGGCTGGGGCTACTCCAGGACCAGGGTTGGGAACCTGTGCATTAACTCACTGAAATTGCTTATTTCCTAGTTTTGATTCCCCAAACTTGTTGCAATGCTTCGCGTGTTGAGCCTGAAACCTTGGCTTTCACTTCTAGAACAGGAAGTAAGCGTTCTCTGTGTGAGTAAATCCATTCAGAAGGCTTTGTCTCAGCATATTAGTGGCGGCAAACAAGGCTGATATGACAAGATATCCAATAAAAGTTTCCTGTTGAATGTTAAAAAGTATGGGCAAATGAGTGTTTCAGCTCAGGCTGATTCTTGAATGAGGCACAATACAGGGCAACCAGTCACAACAGAGCTCCTTTACATATATTAAAGCAATAAGCCACGAGAGGCTGCGCGTTACTGCGATTTTAACACGGGAAGGGTGTTCTTAGGCACAGCTCGAAGTGGCGTGCCTAAAACTCCCTTCCCTGTGATAAAATACACAATAGTTTAGATTTATTATTAGTTATTTATTAGTTATTATTAATAATAATCAACATAAACAAGTATTCCACCAAGAAATGTAGTTTCATTACAGTTTTTTTATCGATGCCAAGCAACCATGGACCGCAGAATGAGGAGAATGTTCAGTCGCCCATCGCTGTATATTGTCGTCATTTGAATTTTTTTAACTTTTTGTCGTATAACAATGAACATATGATAACACAGCACTGTTTAATGCAAAAACGTTCACTTTATAAGTACGTTTTGCTCTCCAAATTACCACCACGAGTCGTATTTAGCACCAATCCAGCGGCGCCCCTCTTCTCACGCTGGAGCTGAATCTCAAATGTCTCCCTGCTCCCTACATAGTGCACTACGTAGGAATTTAAATACTGGATCCTGCAGCCCAACGGTGTGAAATACAGCTAAGAAATAGTGATTTGGGACTGCCGTTTGGGATTCAGCCGGAGTTTGACGCGACTTCTGACTGAAACGCAAACATTTGAAGCATGTAATCCATTCAAGTGACATTTTTTTAGACTTTTATGCTGCTGTTTTACAGTAAATCATACCATAAGTACTTTTATTTAAGTTTATGATATTAATGATGAAGTTATTTAGGCTGTTGGCTAATTTTTAGCATGTTAGCTAGCTGACCAGCCTGGTTCTAGTAAAGAACATAAGTCTCTAAGCCCCTCAGTTTAAACAAAAAACGGGTTCTTGCTTCATCAGTATACTCAATGGTCCATGCGAGCAGCATTACAGTTAAAGATTTTTGTTAGTCAGTAAACTTCCAGTGCGTTCAGCCTTTGTACTTAGACATATTAACAAAAAAGTAGATCTTCATAAGCATAAACAAATATATGTTTAAAACACAGAAATGAGATGGGGGGGGGGAGTACGCTCTATATATACGTGTGTGTAAAGGTTACATAAAAATATGTTCTCTTGCTCTCAGGAATAACATTAAGCAACACTACAATGGGAAAAGCTGTAGAGCCATAGTAAAGACTTTAGACACCCCCTTCAGTACTGTTGGTGCGATAATATGCAAGTGGAAATTTCATGGAACCACAGCTTATCATCACAGGACAAATACGCCACGCAAGACCTCACAACACACTCTCAGACTAATGATAATTTTTGGCAGTAATTCAGCTTGTCATGTTTGGAGAAAGAAGGGTTGCCAAGTATGCTTTTAATCAACACAACTTTTCACGCACACACAGTACAGTTAGTTGTATGCATGAGTTTTGGTGCCCCTGGTCAAACAACATGTTTTGTTGATTCTCTAAGTGTAAATAAGTGAACACATCCTCTACAGAGACACACTACTGCACTTTTAATACACAATTACTGTTTATTTACTGAATGCAACACATTTCTAAAACATAAAATGTGGCCTGTGCAAAAGTTGTGTGTTTTATGTTTTGTGTTTTTCTAACATGGTAAACTCATGTTTAGCATGTTAGAATAAAAGAAAAAACAATACAGAAATTGTTTGTTGAAGAAAATGTATGTTGAAATGTGCAGAAATTGAAGTTTGTCCCCTGTAGAGAAGTTTTCACTTAGAACCGCCCCTCCAAAAAAAAAGGAATTTGGATCAAATTCAAGTCATGAAGGTTCATGAATATTCATCAGAATCAAAATTGTAAAGTGAGATATCACTTTAGACAATTGTCTTGGCTGTAAGAGGAAATAATAATAACAGTAATAATAATAATTAGGACATACAGTAAAAAATTTAAAATGTCTATTAACTGATTTATGCATTACTGAAATGTTATTATAATTGTATCATAAGTTAATTTTACTAATTCAAATAAAAGCATTAACCCTTAAAAATATATCTCATAACCTATGACCTCATCCCCACCCCCCCATCCTGACTGCTGTTCTCATGTAATAATACGAAATCTGAAAATATAACAATATATTACATTATATTATTTAGTTACTGTTAATAAAGTGTCAGTTTGTTGATCAGTGTTAGTGATGAGCACCAGGTCACTGTGGTTGGTAGACCATCAGTGCGTTTAAGGCCTAAAATGTGAATGTTTATCCTCTGGTGCTGTTGAATGTGAATGTTCAGGGAGCTGTACGCCCAGTTCCTGAAGGAGATGATCATCCAGCCGGGAATAGCCAAAGCCAACCTGGGCCTGTCCAGAGAGGACGTGACCATGGAGGATCACGTAAGTAAACTTTCCGTCTGCCCCCACCTCCCTGCTGAGCATCTCAGTTTAGCCTGCATGTTCATGATATCTACAGAATTTTGCATTTAATATAGTGTAAATCTGCTTGACTAGGATTGTTTCCTGCCATGCAGACTGTTCTGTAGTGTAACATGATTACTTAATAGGAATTAAATTCTCTCTCCCTCTCTCTTTTTTCTCTGTCTAGCCTCTGAACCCAAATCCTGAGAGCCGATGGAACAATTACTTCAAGGACAATGAGGTTCTGCTACAGATTGATAAAGATGTTAGGTATGCTGTTCTCACAGCCTGGAAGGAAAACTTCAGTACTGTGATAGTTTGGTGAAAGTCAGATTTGCACGGTTTCCTTATAGTATAGTCAATCAGCCAAGACATGTCTGAAGTTTGCTTAAGTGTTTTTTTATTTTAATAGACTTGCTTAAGTAGTTTCTGACACTGTGCACCGATCAGGCATAACATTATGACCATCTCCTTGTTTCTACGCTCATCGTCCATTTTATCAGCTCCACTTACTATATAGGTGGACTTTGTAGTTCTACAGTTACAGACTGTAGTCCATCTGTTTCTCTGCATACTTTGTTAGCCCCCTTTTACCCTGTTCTTCAGTGGTCAGGACCCCCATGGACCCTCACAGAGCAGGTACTATTTGGGTGGTGGATCATTCTCAGCACTGCAGTAACACTGACGTGGTGGTGGTGGTGTGTTAGTGTGTGTTGCGCTGGTGTGAGTGGATCAGACACAGCAGTGCTGCTGGAGTTTTTAAACACCTCAGTGTCACTGCTGGACTGAGAATAGTCCACCAACCAAAAATATCCAGACAACAGCGTCCTGTGGGCAGCGTCCTGTGACCACTGATGAAGGACTAGAGGATGACCAACACAAACTGTGCAGCAGCAGATGAGCTATCGTCTCTGACTTTACATCTACAAGGCGGACTGACAAGGTAGGAGTGTCTAATAGAGTGGACAGTGAGTGGACCCTGTTCGTCCACCTTGTAGTTGTCAAGTCAGAGACAGTAGCACGTCTGTTGTTGCACAGTCAGTCATCCTCTGGTGGTCACAGGACACTGTTGATTCAATATTTTTGGTTCTCAGTCCAGCAGTGACACAGAGGTGTTTAAAAACTCCAGCAGCACTGCTGTGTCTGATCCACTCGTGCCAGCGCAACACACACTAACACACCACCACCACGTCAGTGTTACTGCAGTGCTGAGAATGATCCACCACCCATATAGTACCTGCTCTGTGAGGGTCCATGAGGTCTTGACCACTGAAGAACAGGGTAAAAGGGGGCTAACAAAGTATGCAGAGAGACAGACAAATGGACAATGAGCGTAGAAACAAGGAGGTGGTCATAATGTTACGCCTGATCAGTGTATATGTAATAGCATATCAATATCTATCCATCAGTATGTTGGACACGAGTAAGTTGCATAGATAAAACTGAAGTAGCAGTCAGTCTCGATTCTGTCTTTATCGTACTTTTGTCCATGTTTATAGATAACAGTGTGTCTTGAACCACATAAGCAAGTCTGTTAGAGATTGCTTAACAACTCCACTCGGTTTAAGGTGTGTAAAGTTTGATACATGCAGTTTGAACAATGATAATTGGTGGAATATAAACTTCCGTCACTTGTTAGCAACATTGGCCTCATGGCTCTAGTGCAGGGGTCGACAACCCAAATGTTAAGAGGAGCCATTTTGTCCTTTCAGCAAAAATCAAACCACCTTGGGAGCCACAACATTTTATGTCCGTTTTACCATCTTGGCTGTAAATATGTCTCAGTATATGCTGATGTTCTAGCATAGGCTAAAAAATATAATATAAACGTAAAGGCAGACTTACTTTGCTCTGCTTTAAGCTTTAGTTCAGCTGTAGCTGCTTTTCTCGCAACTCTGGCAGGAAACTTTTCCAAAAGTAGAACAGTTTCTTGTAAAATTTTTTGCGAGGCTGAAGTCGCTTCTCATTTGCCAGCTTTTCGTCTGAATTTTCCTGTTCCACATTAAATGGTGCCTGCTGAACGGGAAAATTCGAATGAGAAGCTGAGGTTTGTGACTTTTTAGTGTTTGAAAGTTTCTCGTTGCAGATTAAATGTATCAGGAAACCAGCTGGAGTGATTATAAATGCATAAGAGTCCATTTGTCTCCAAATTATCCATGTTGTCTTAGATCTTTGTCTTTGCCTTTTTTTTGTTAGCTACTAGCTAGGCAAGATTGTTGTCTGAGTTGCTATGGTGACCAGCAGTCTGTACGCCAACCTTCAGGGTTACAGGTTGGTGAATTAGCACATATAGGCTACTTTAACTCGAGCGTTTAAGACCATTTATTGTTAAAACTGTGTTGAACGATCAGCAGAGCTTTATTTTACTGCAAAGGAGGATTATTTTATCTTTACCTACAAATCTAATTCTGCTGTGGAGCCACAACAGAGCAGTAAAAGAGCTGCATGTTGCCGACCCCTGATCTAGTGCAAAAGTAACGAAGCAAACTTCAGACACCAAACATGACAACATTTGAGGTAAATGAAGAAAATGTATACATTTTATTTTTTGCCAGATGATAACTTTAGTAATGATCTCTTCTCCTGCTTATAGACGGTTGTACCCAGACATGGCGTTCTTCCAGAGGCCCACTGAATTTCCCTGCCAGCTGATCCTGGACCCCCAAAACGAGTATGAAACCCTCCGCCGACGTGTGGAGCAAACTACACTTAAAGCACAAACTGTCGACCGCAACCGCAGTGGAGTCACTAATGTGAGTGTCTGTGTGAGCCTGTATTTACAGGTGTTTTTCATTTCTAATATGTGTTGCTGATATTATTTGTGACCTGTTTGCTTTGGTCAGTGCTCAGATGGTCAAACACAGGTGAGTATTTGTGCGAAGTGTGTGCGTGTGCGCGCATGCGCGTGTATGTGTGGGTCTACTTGTCTTGCTACTGTTGTGAGGACCAAATGTGCTCACAATGATAGGACAACAAAAGATTTTGTACAGGTGAGGACCGTTTTGCTTTTTGCTGTTTTCACCACTAATTCTACTGAGGTTGAGGTTAGGATTAAGTTTAGGTGCTACAGGTGCTTCTGTAGGTGATACAGAAGTCTTTGGAAGTCCTCACAAGTATAGTGAGACCAACGTGTGTGTGTGTGTGTCTGGTTGGCGCTTGTTGACCCTGTACAGCAGTTTGAAAAGCAGATTTTTACAGATAAGGAATCTTTGTAGGTAAATGTGAAGGTTGTTTTGTTTTTTTTTTGTAAGAGAAACTTACTGTGTCTGTAACTAATCTAATCAAGTTAATAATAATAATAATTATAATAATTATAATAATAATAATTATAATAATCGAATATAGGAGGGATTTTTGGGTTCTTTTACAAAAAGTGCTTAGACGGTCATACAGGACAGCTGGATCTATGCTTGAAATCAGGGGTTAAACTGGGATTTCTGAAGTTTTTTTGGTATTTATTTTTTATGGATGTCACCAAAATGGAAAAAGTGATGCTCAGTTAATGTGATATTATAGAAAGTTCTCAGCATTGGTGTTGTGATGTTCACATGATTCACAGGTGCCGTAGCTCTGCTCCGGTGCACTCCAACCCGGTTTAACCCCAGCTTATTTAGCTAATTTCAACAGCTACTGAAAATCCATGGAAAAATTCTGAGCCATATGCAGTTCCTTTTCAAGTTTAGGCTTCTATTGTCTAAGAAATAATAGGCCCATATTTATCAGATATAACTTTAGAGCATATTATAGCTGGTTAGTTATTAGTGTGTCAGCCCTCCCTTTAGCTTTAGCCAGTGTCCTATAGCTCCTGCAGCACTGAGCCCCTCTCTAACTCACCTGTTTCAACCCCTCAGCTCATTAAACGCCTTCATGAAGGTAAAATTGGGATGTTGGAGCAGGAGAAGACTAAAATATTCAGTGTTCTTTAACTGCTCGGATCTGTCTGGCTCTTTCTGTTGATAATTTTTAAAATGCAATTCGAAACACTTCTTGTTAGCTTTTTGCTTTATTTGTTAATTGTTTTATCTCCATTATTTCATTAGTTTTCTGTTTCATAGTTTCGCTTTATTTACATTCTACATTTCTTTTCCTGTTTTTCCTGTTGACTTCATTTATTGCCCAGTCCAAACCCCTCTAATTATTTTTTGTTCTTGTTTTTCGCACAGTTTTGTGATGCACTTTGAGATGTACGTATGTAAAATGCAATGAAATTAAGTTAGAGTAATGATAACAATAATAATGATAATAAAAAAATATTATTATTATTATTATTATTATTATTATTGGATGTTATTGCAGGACCAGGATTCAGTAACATTGGATTAAACTAAAATATCCTAAATTAGACTATTGTGCTGTGTTTTCTAAAGCAGAACTGTTAGTCATGCTAAAGCAGCACAGCAGGGTTTAACGGCCCATTTCTCTTTTCTTTTTTTACTCATACATATTATGAATATTTCGTATTGTACATATTGAATGCATATCTGTTATAAAGCTTTGGTTTTATTATTACCTCTGCGTGTGTTACTGCTAATGCAAAATAAGTCTTTACTGTCTCTGTCCCTGAGAGAGCATCGTTTTTGCAGATGTTATCTCAGGTGACTGGACCTGACTGGATTTGACCTTTGTCCTGTGCCCTGTAGGTGAGCTCCCCGGGGAAGGCTCTGAACCTGTACCCCTCTAACGAGTACGAGGTGCTGCCGAACGGCTGTGAGGCGCACTGGGAGGTGGTGGAGCGGATCCTGTTCATCTACGCCAAGCTGAACCCCGGCATCGCCTACGTTCAGGGCATGAACGAAATCGTAGGACCTATTTACTACACCTTCGCCACGGACCCCAACAAAGAGTGGAAAGGTACTAAGTGGTTCTTTGAGTGAACTCTTATTAATATTTCGCTGCTGTCGGAACAAAACCTTGTATCTTCAGAATGAGAACTTTCATCCGTAGCCGGGAGCCCAAGAGAGCACAATTGGCTTCACTCTCTCGGGGTGGGTAGGATGGCCCCCCTCTCCCCCCATCACTCATTGCGAGGCTAGTCAGCGCAGGCATCTGTTAGCTGACGTAACAGATCTGGCGGTTGGCGCTTTCCTCCGTGTGTGTTCGGCTGTGCAGTAACGTTGCGTGAGCGGCAGTTCGAAAACTGGCTTCAGAGGTCTCGGAGGAAGCCTGTATTAGCCTTCACCCTCCTAGCACTGGTGGTATCGTGTGATTGGGGGAGTCCTAACTAGCGGGTAGAACTGGAGATGAGTAAATTGGGCAGAAAATTGGGGAAAATCCAAAAAAAAACAAAAAAAAACCAAAATGAGAACTTTACAGGAGAAGGAAAAAACATACTGTACTTCTAATGTAAGTCAATGGAACCAGACATTTTTCCAAGTAAATTTTGCCCATTTCTTTTGCTTCATTCATCATTAAATTAAAACACAATATAAAGGGCAAAAGACATTTTCAAGTTTTGTCAAAAACTGAAAAATGACAAAAATGGAGATTTGGAGCGATTTGTTTAATGAAACAGGCATTTGAAAAAAAGGCCTGTGTAGTTTGAAATAAATAAAAAGAAAAAAGAAAAAAGCTGTTGCTTGAGTAGTAAAAATGGGTGAAATGTCCATCCCTAAAAAATAACAGGGCACTTTATCTTAATGATTAGAAATGCAAGAAATGTTATCTTGCCTGTAGCGTTAACCTGGTTAAAACAAACATGGAGGTACACTGCGTGTCAAAAGTTTGGGGACAGCTTGCTCCCTTTGTTCTTTATTTATTGACTGATGTTTGATTTCCACTGTGACTTCAGTTAATTGGGAAAAAACAGCTGCAAATGTTAGCATAAATCAGCTGTTTGCTGATCCTTTGGGTATATTTATCCTCAACACTCAACTTCACGTTCATCAAAGTATCTTCCTTGGTATGAAGAGCTGGTTATTAATAATGATATGATTTTTTTTTCCCCCAAAACTACTGTTAAAAGCACATGTTGAAACTCTTATGGCCCACATGTGCTTTAAACAGCTGGAAAGATTGAGTGCTGATAAGTGCTGACTTCACAACAAGGGCATAAAATGTGTGGGGTTTGGCTTTATTCTCGAAACAGCTCTGTCACTAATACTGAACACGAACATTTACATGTGTGGTAATGTTGTCCATGTTATAGACCTGCTTATTCTTTGTGTCAAGTTATTGCAAACCCACAAAGGAAATGCACTGAGAGGAAAGCACACTCATGCTGCCACCTACAGGACGAACAGAGGCGTTGGGTCAAAATGCACAGACCAGGGGTGTAAATCGCTGACCACAAAATGATTCATTTATTTGGTAACAGTACTTAGAAAACGATTCATTGCATTGTGAAATTTCTAATTTCACCACAGTTCAGTTTGATTGTATTGGTATGGTTCAATTCATTTGGTCAGCATTTATAAAAAAAAAAGTTAAATTTATTATGTAATTATTAAAAAAAATACAGAGTTCACAAACTTGAACGAAGGATCTATTTAGACAAGAAAAAATGTTCTTATATAATAAATTATATTGTAATAGAGATATTATTTATTCATTTGAAAAATTGACAAATTGAAAGAGACCTGCTCTGTGAGGGTCCATGGGGGTCCTGACCACTGAAGAACAGGGTAAAAGAGGGCTAACAAAGTATCAGAGAAACAGATGGACTACAGTCTGTAATTGTAGAACTACAAAGTGCACCTATATAGTAAGTGGAGCTGATAAAATGGACAATGAGCATAGAAACAAGGAGTTGGTCATCATCTTATGCCTGATCGGTATATATCCATTACAACATATACATTACAACTTGTCATTTGCCTGGAGTGTTCAAACTTTTGCATATGACTGTTTGTAAGTTATTATGATATTGGATTTATTACCCAGCACTGTCCTCATCCTTTGGTGAATTCTGAATGTTTATTGAAGGTTTTTTTTCATGTTCCCCCCCTTTAGAGCATGCAGAGGCAGACACGTTCTTCTGTTTCACCAACCTGATGTCAGAGAACCGGGACAATTTCATCAAGAGCCTGGACGACTCGCAGTGCGGAATAACATATAAGATGGAGAGTGTCTTCTCCATGCTCAAAGAGAAGGATGTGGAGCTCTACATGAAGCTGGTGAGCATCCCTCTCAAACCCAGTCACGCCAACAGCAGTAGGAGTGTTTGTGTTTGAAACATTAATCTGTTTTCGTTTGTTTTTTCATTATTTCTCTTAGTTTCTGTCTGTCTTCTTCTTATCTTTTTCTGTCTGTCTCTATTTTTGTGCAATATCGTATTGCATCATATGTACCACACCTTGCACATAAGTTTATATTCACTATTGTTTTTATACCTCTTTTCAGAGGTGACATTTACTCTGTTACATTTCCTTAAAGTGCTCATATCCAGCACTGTTAGTGGCTTTAAGCAGTTTGGGCAGTTGTTTAGGGCCCCACAAGTGCATAGTGGTTGGTTTTTATTTTTGTTTTTTGTTTTTTTGGGTGTCAATCAGGATATTAGAAGAATATCTTTCGAAAAATATTTTATGAAGATATCAATTACCTTTCTTCCAAGAAATAATGTATGCCACTTAACTATTTTTATTATTATATTTCCACATATATAATTTATTTAGATTTATTAGTTTAATTTCTATTCATTTTTATTATTATAAACAAACAGTTCAGTCATATAAACTTCACAGAAATGAATAAAGGTCATCTATACGGTCATATAAACACCCCCAGTCAAATGACATGTTGTTTCTAAGAGAAAACAAGTTAACTCATCCTCTACAGGGAACACACTGTAAAAAAATTATATTTCCTGCAAATTTTAGTGCACAATTTCTATTTATTGTGTTGAGTTTAATATATTGGGGTACAAATTGTAAATAATAATTTTTTTCAACCAGTAAAAAAAGTTAAATTCAGCAAATAAACAGTAATTGTGTATTAAAATGTGCAGTAGTGTGTTCTCTGTAGAGGATGTGTTCACTTATTTTCATATGTCATTTGACCAGGGGTGCCTAGACTTTTGCATACAACTCTGTAGGCATTATAGAAGTGAAGGATGCTTTAATTTATTTTTGCATGCAAAATCATACAGTTCAGGTGGGTGGGAGACCCCCAAGGGTGGTGTTACTTTCAATTCTTAACTTTTCTCTCTTTTATTTTCTTAGTTTTTTCCTCCCTCTGCATGTCCTGTATGTTTTATGCGTTCTGCCAGCTGTTGATTTGTCTGTTCCAGTGTACTTCCAGCTTTCCAACGTTGCTCTTGTAAAGTGATCTTGGGTTTAAGAAGGGAACTTTAATATTATTATTATTAAGGTATTTTGCATGTATATGTGTTACATACATGTAGTAATATAATATATAATATGTGTAGTTTAATAAATTCTTTGTATGTGTAACAAACATAGCGGCATAAAATGAATTAAAACAAGGTTCCTGATTCTCCCTCTTTCCTCTCTCTCCCTCCAGCAAGAGCAGAACATAAAGCCACAGTACTTCACTTTCCGCTGGCTTACTCTGCTGCTCTCTCAGGAGTTCCTGCTGCCGGATGTTATCCGGATCTGGGATTCACTCTTTTCTGATCAGGATCGCTTTGACTTCCTCATCCTCGTCTGCTGCGCCATGTTAACGTAAGAGCCACACAATCAAAGCCGCCTTTGTTTCTGCTCTTTTCGCTACATAATTCATACATTTTCTTTCTGTTAATGCTGTGCTTCATTGTCTGGGTCTGTTCTTGAGCTTTGTAAAGCTACCTTGCACTAACACATTATTATTGTTGTTATTATTATTATAATTAGTAGTAGTAGTAGTAGTAGTATTAAAATCATTATTAACATTATTATTATTATTAATGTACTGGGGTTCAGCCTAATGTGTTGATTGTTAGGCAACAGTGTGTTCCCACATGCAATACTGTCCAAAAGTCTTAAGCAGCCAAGAAAACTACTTTAAAAACTATATTTTTGCCAGTAAAAGTAGTCTATATCATTAGAATAAATAAAAAAATCAACTTAAATATAGTAAAATGCAACAAAGATGTTTGGTTTTTAAAAAAGATATTAATATCTTGGTCAGACGAATACAGTTAGGTTTGGTTCCTGACTCTCACTGCACTCCAGCCGTTACATATGTTGGTTCATTTCCATCAGCAGCACCAGATTTAATTTAATGAAGTATTGATTAGACAAACTTGGTATTGTTACTGGGCAGGTTTGTAAATGCTGAAGCTATTTGTTTGTTTGAAATTGTTGTATCGTTATTGTTTTTATACAAAAATAAATGCTTACTGTCCAGATAAACATTTTACATCATTCTCTCAAATGACCTTTTGGACATTTGCACAGTGCTGTATTTTCACGTTTCTCATGCCCTGTTTTTATTTCTGCAGTTTGATCCGGGATCAGTTGCTAGCAGGTGACTTTACAATGAACATGAGATTACTCCAGGTACAGTGCACACACAAATGTACACACTTTTGCTTTCTTCACATGATTAACATATTATTAGGGGGCTTTGTAGAGTATAGATTAGAAGTATTGCTACAGGTTATATAGGTTTGTGTTAGATTATGGATTGGAAGTGTTGTTACAAGTGTTTAAATAAGTGTTTCACTGATACTGATACTGTATTGGTATCGGCACTGATACTGGCACTTAAACTCTGTATCGGTATCAGTGATGGGGATACCGATACCTATGACAGATACCACGCAGATACCAGATACCATTCTGACGTGTGCATGTGCACCAGTATTTTGGTGTTCAGAACAACGGAGCCGCTTACCTGAACAGCTGAGCAGCTTCTTTCAGTAATCACTCGTCTGCCGCTGTGTGGTCACTTACATGTTATTGAGAGCGGAAGGAACCGCCGGACTCTCAGTGCAATGATAGTATTTAGCCTTGATTTAGCCTTTTGCATAGCAGCCCGCTAGCCAGGCCTGTGCGCCCACTTTCTTTAGCATTTAATAAATCTAATCCAACAAGTAAATATCATCTAGCCAAGCCGAGTGTGTTTTATTTGTGATGCAGAACATAGATTTTACCAAACTAAAATATTTTAAAAATGTGATAGTATAATTATCAGGACTTATATGTGAGTTATGTTGGATAGAGTTAGTATCGGTATCAGTACTCGGTATCAGCCAACATTTAAAGGATCAGGTATCGGTACCGGAAGGGAAAAAGTGGTATCAGTGCATCTCTATTTTAAAGCAGTGGTTCTGAAACTGATGATCCCCTTTTTTTCCTCTACCCATGTGTGTTGTGAGAGTGAAAATGTGGACCTGAGTAACGGTTTGAGAACCACTGATGTACATTAGAGATTTGATTATAGATTACAAGCACACAGTCACACACCTTTTGATGTTTAGGAAAAATGAATCAGATTGTTTATCCATGTATTACAGTTGGCTTCTTCAGTCTGGCACTGAAACTATGAGGCTAACAATTAATAGAAGCTTATGTATATAAATATACAAAAGTATGAACAAAATTCAAGCTTCTTTTGTCTGTGTTAACAGATAACACTGTCAGAAACCACGTAAGCAAGTCTATTTGACATAAATTAACAACTCAACACGGTTTTGTGATGAGTGTGTGTTATTTTAGGCATGCAGTTTGCACAATGCTAATTGGTGGGCTATATGCTTCCGTTACTTGTTAGCTACATTAGCTTTATATCCACAGTACGAAACCAAAGAAACACCAAACATCTTGGCCAATTGACTACATAACCTGTGAATCTCTCTTGTTTGTCTGATAGGATTACCCCATATCTGACGTACACACCATCCTGATGAAGGCCAAGGAGCTGCAGGACAGCTCGTAGCCGCCACAGGGCGCTCCAGGGAGAGTAACCATGGTAACCGGTAACCAGGATGACAGCGGTGCCCCGTTGCACCCTGGGAGGGGAGGGATGCCACCTTTGCCATTGCAATTAAAGAGAACTTTAAGCCTCGGGCTGTCCCTCTCACAGTCAGACAGCGTTTGTGGTGGGTGGGGAGCAGCAGAGAGAGGGGGGCGACAGGGGGGGTTCCAGCTTTTTATTGCACTGAACACTTGAAAAATCAAACATATACATGGAGCAATGTAAACAACAACACTCACTAAACAGAGGCAAAGTCCTTAAGTGTCCATACGTACGAAACACTCCGTAAACTCCAAAAAAATGTGGCTTCTTTTCTTCTTTCTCAGATTTGAAATGAAGGGTTATTTTCCAGGTGTTTCTTAATTTTGATTGTTTTTTTATCAACCCAAGGTATTTGTTATGATCTTTTCTCTCTATTTTTCTCCTTCTTATTATTTTTCTTTTTGGAACAATTTACAGAGGTGTGCGTTTTTCTTCGGTTTTGTTGTTTCATCGTGGCTGTACTCGTGTGCTTGGAGAGAAGAAGCGTTTAAGGGGTTTGAACGCAGGGGCTGTGCCTTTTTTTTCTCTCCAAGATAGGAGCTGCCAGATAAACGACACCACAAACACACAACACAAAGTGCTCTTCTCGTGTCAGACAGGGAGTGGAGACGTTTATGCTAGCCTGCACAGCCAAGCCTATATTACTGGAAGCCAACACTATCTCCACAGCAATAGGGTTTATTATTAGTAGTATTATTATTATTATTATTTTTAACACATCCATGATTTCACCATTCACGTTCACTGTGTCACTGAAGTGAATCACTATTGTTTTACTGCATGCATGTGGCCAGTGTGCTGTTGTTTTTATCATTTCTCTCTGGTTCTGTAGCTGTTATAGATGAATATGGCTCATAATATAAACCAGACATGAATCAACAAGCTAAGCATGTCAGCCTGTAGTGAACTAACGTTTGCTTTTAGTCTCAGTGTTTACTAATCGCCTACTAATCACAGTCATGCGTTACTGTATACAGTAAGGCCTGATTTGAGCTGCTTCAGCATTGTTATTGGACGATGCAGGTTAACAGCACCGTCTTTCTTACCATCCTGTTGTCTTCGATGATTGTCTGCAAGACAGCAAAAGAATGTTTACAGTCTGTTTTATGTACATCCCGTCATAATTGATCTATCCATGCTCTACCCACAAATGCCGTGGACAGTCTTAACTGAATGCTGGCAAAAATCCTATTTAACCTAATTAGAGACTGTAGTGCACATTGGAGTCGCAACGTAATGCTGAGTTCGCAGTTTAAAATGCTCCCGAGCTCTGCTTTAGCTGTTACACACCTGAAAGGTCTGCATCTATCCCAACACACGTGTTCACGCACACACAGTCAGTCGTATGCAAAAGTTTGGGCACCCCTGGTCAAATGATGTTGTGTTGATTTTCTAAGTGAAAGTAAGTTAACACATCCTCTATAGAGAACACACTGCTGTACATTTTAACATTCAACCTCAAATATCAACCAATTAGTCTAACATGAACTTGTTTTGTACAAGAAATTAGCACATAATGGTGGCAAATTAAGCATAATGTGTCTGCAGTGTGTTCTTTTTTTTAAGCTTGCGAGTGGACCATTGTATTTTGTTTATTCTTTATTCTTTATTTGGATCCCTATTAGCTTGGTTGCTAGTCTTCCTGGGTTCCACGCAAGAGCAGTTACAATAAAAACATCTTTAAAATCATCCTGTATCATAAACGAGACAAAAAAACAAACAAAACTCAAGAATAAATCTAGTACATCAATAAATCAAAAATTAATAATACCACAATAACGTCTATATGAGGTTCATCAAATTTTGTTTAAATAACTTAAAACAAAATTAAATTAAAATCTACTTATAATCTGTTTGATGTTTGTAGGGAGCATATTCCAAGCTAAAGAACAGTTTTCTTCATACAATTTGATTGTGGACTTGGTACCACCAACTGACCTGACTCACTTGAAGTGACAAGACAAAAATGACAAAAGCCTGAAAATACTAGTTTTTCCACAAAAAAAAGTTGGTGTATTATTATTTCTAATAACATTATGCACAAATAACAGAAGACTAAACTTCAGTTTAGCCTCCACATGTAACCATGATAATCGTTTACGCATGAAGAGCTAATCTGGCTGCTCTGTTCTGTACAATTAAATATTTCTAGAGGCAAAATATAGTTTTTACAAAGCTTGTATTAATATTGCAGCTGTTTGGAAACATTTTACATTTTGTTCTTATAATTAGGTCAGTAATTTTTCCATTAGTTTTTATTATAAAGTGCCATCGACAGGCCACTACAGACCACTTGCTTCCCCTCAGCGTTGGCCCCAGGACACCCAGAGGGTTGTGGTCCACAGTCCAGTGGTTGAGAAAAGCTGCTGTACATGATGAGTTAACTTATTTTCACTTAAAAAGCACAACAAAACATCATTTGAGCAGGGGTGTTTAAACATTTACATACGACTGACTGTAAATATCATTTGAAATGATGTATTCTGAATGTACGTTCTCTGTATCCTCTAGCTAGGATAGCATAAAGCAGTATTTTTCATTTTAGATGTTGTGTTTATCATAAGCTGTTTTCACACCAAGTTTTAAAGTACTGAAGCTTTCACATCAAGTCCTATGCAGACACTCAGTCCCATTCTGCTAAAAAGTTCTCACAGGAGCTACAGCGCTGTGTAAACGTGGCCTGGTTCCAGATTAGACGAGCAAACCAACTACTGTGAAAGACACCGTTACAGTTAAAGGCTTTTTTTTAAAACCTTTTAATTTTCTGTCTGTAAAACACAGACTGATTGTGAGAAGGCCTTATGGTTTTGTTAGCCCTCTGGTGGTGAACAAGAAGCTGCAAAATGTCCATAGTTTTGAAAATTATCAATAATTTTTTCAGTATTTCTGCATTTTTTTTAAAAAATTGCTAATCATCCCAACTCGCTAGTTGTGCGCCACAGTTTCTAGGTTGAATGAGACTTTATGTTAAGCTTGTCCAAACTAACCACGATAACTGCAGAAGAACGTATCTGTGGGCGGAGCTTGGACAGATCAGTTGAAACTGGTTGATCATAGTCTATGGAATTATGGAATTAAATCACATGAATATGGAAATTAGACGTTGTCCGCCATGTTGTTCGAGCAATTATAAGAAACTAATTATTGTTGTACTTAAAAATGCAGCTCACGGTTTGTTAAAGGGAAATTCCACCAATATTTTGAAATTTCGACATTATTTAGTCACTGACATAGACGGCATTACACAAAGTCATTCAGAGTAATTTGGTGTGAAAGGATGCATTGTAGAGAAACTTCTCGACTCAATTTCTTTACAGTGGTGGTGAGAGGAACCAGGGGTCATGATGTCTACAATGCAAATATAGCCATTTTATTTACCCTCCCAACCAACCAGTGAACCTCCACATGACCTCTGAGTTTTTGTGATGTTGATAAGGATAAAATAGTGGTAAATCTGGAAAAAATACATTTTCTTCCAGCACTGTTTTGCTTTCTAATGTCCTGCCTGTACCTCTCCACCATGAATGTATATTTAAACAATATGGTTTAGGCAAAAACCTCAGAACTATTGTAAAACTATCACTGCATTTTCATGCACTTAGTAATCCGTTCATAATCGGATTTCTGCAGTTATCTGATTGTTTAAATGGTCATGTAAACAGTATACTCTGAAATCTGATTAAGAAATCTGATAAATAGAGCTGGATTTTAGCTCAGCAATCAGATTTCTTAGTGCATATGAACTCTTACTCTGATTTCTTTCGGATTTCTCAGTCTGTGCATGTGTGAAAACAGACTGCGGTACCGGAAATAAGCGAGCAGCATCAGCGTGAGACGCAGCAAAACACTTTTGGAGCGATGCTGAAAACAACTACATGCTTGATGAAATGAAGGATTTAAATATTCTTCATCTTCTAGATGATATTTGTTCATAGTTTTAGGTGTCAAAAGTGTTCAAAGTGTTTGTTCTTTAAAAAAAAAAAAAAATGAAAAAAATCGTGGCATGAAGTTTGAGTTTTACCTTACATTTATGTCAGGTCGTCTTCTGTGAGTTTATTGGCTGGTTGCAAAGCAGAAACCTGATTACTGCCTGATTCACGTAGACCCAGAGTTTCCCCATTATCTGATTACTCAAGTGCATGTAAATACGTTGATCGGATTACTGACAATCTGATTTTCTGCAGTTATCGGATTATTAAGTGCATGTCAAAGCACTCTGTCACTCTATGCATCGGACAGTGTATTCATAAACATTTCATGTTATAACATTCTGTGAGGGAGCTTTCAGAGCCGTTAAACTCTTCAGATGTCTGGTTCCTTTCATTGCCATTGTAAACAAATCGGACTGAGCATGTTTCTCTAGAAGGGAGCATTTCACACCAAACCACTCTGAATGACTTTGTTAACATTCTAACTAATTAAACAGTTACATGTTTTTTTTTAATCAGTGGGATTCCCCTTTAAGGTGAATGTGTCGAGCCCATTTGGTTTCCAAGAACTGTTGTAGCAGAAGGTTTTATTGTGGTATGATTTTCTCTCTCTCTGTCTTTTATGTCTATTATGATTATTTTAACACTAAAAGTGTTTTGGGGAAACTGGACTTTATGGAGTGGAGGATGTGGGTGTTTTTTTTTGTTTTTTTTTCTTCTTATTGTAAAAGTATTGTTTATGTATTAACCCATGTTAAAGTATGTGTTAGCTTATTAATCTCATTATCATATTTTATGTTCAGTCACTATTCACATCCATCTTTGTTTCATGTTAATCAAACTGTATCTGTGTGTTTTATTTGTGAGAGAAATGCGATCAAAGCCAACTTTGAATGAGTTTCCTGACTGCAGTTTCATTTCAGCTCGAGTTTAGGGCCGTACGAAATCCATTAAACATACATTTTTTTTATATATGTAGTCAGGCTATCTGTGTCTGGCCAGTTGGGCGTTTATCTCCAAGTCAGAGGCGTTTCCCTCACGCTTCTCCACGCTGAACTCTTTCATTGCGTTAATGCGTTTGTAAGGCGTTGTTGCCAGGCCAGCCAGGCTGATAATCACTCATATCAGCTTCAGGCCTCAGCAGGTTTGAGTAGCAGTTGTGCTCAGCATTTTTCTTAAACGCACTGCCACCTTTCTGTGCAGTTTTCCCCCCTCACTTAACACCACTACAGTCAGCAGCTTGTGACCGAAAATAAATAAATAAGCAAATAAACAAACCAGCAGAATGATGATTTGTAAATTATGCTTACAACGTAACATTGTGCTTTAGAAAAGCCTTGAAGGGGAATTCCACCACTTTTTAAAATTGTATAAACTCATTTACAGTCAGTCAGTTTCTCTAAAAGCTTTTAAAAGTTAGTAAAATTCCCTTTTAAGCTACGTTCACATGAACTTTACTTTCCAGTGAAAAGAGACCTTTAAAGCAGGGCTGTCCAGTTTTACCCACATATGGCTGTTATGGCTGCAAGTTTTTATACCACGCAAGCTGGAGCACACCTGATTCCACTTGTTTCATCAGTCTTCAAACATTTCATCATGTGTGTTCCTACTTTGCTGGAATGAAAACCTGCAACAACACCGGCCCTTTGTGGATAAGACTGGATATCTCTGCTTTGTAAGCCTCAATGTGTTATGCTGTACATGTCCAGTACTATTAAACTATGCTGTAAACTAAGCTGAACACCTTATTCTTGTTGAAAATAGACAGAATTCCTCTGCTAGTAAGTTGCGCATCAAATGGTTGCTCTCGCTTGTCGATCGTCTTATTTTCTTTAGGACTGACCCCACTGCAACCATGTGACCATCACAGTGCAACAATGACAACCTACTAATAGAGGGATTTTAACTATTTGCCATGTTTTTTTTATAATAAACTAAACATTTACACTTGGTTTGTACATCGTTGCTAAGGCGTATGGGACATGTATACTTCTGTAACGCATAGAAGTCTTAACAGTCACAATTCCCTTGAAAGTAATAGGTTAAAAAATAAAAGGTTTCATTAGCATAAAATGGCTGTTGGGCATATTTGCTTCAAGTTATTAAAGTGTCTTTCTTGGTGTGACCTCACAACAAAGGGATAAAATGCATGGGGTTTGGCTTTATTTTCAAGATAGCACTGCTATGTTAGTGTGTGATTGATTAGTCTATATATATATATATATATATATGTATGTATGTGTGTGTGTGTGTGTGTGTGTGTGTGTTTGTGTGTACTGCAAACCAACAAAATTCAAGAGTGTTAATAAGGTTTGTCCCCATTTGCTGCAGTAACACCCTGGGAGGGGTAGGCCTTATATCGGAACATTGCTGTGAGGATTTGATTGAGCATCAACTCAACCCAAAGATACTGGATGGAGCTCTATCACTCCAGAGAACACAGTTCCACAGCTCCACTGCTCCACAGTCCAATGCTGGGAGGCTTTATACCCCTCTAGCTGATGCTTGGTATTGGGCATGGTGACCTTAGGCTCATGTGCAGCTGCTTCAGAGCATCCCTTTCTATTGGTCGATGCTTTTCTATGGAGATTATACAAGCTGTATATGTGCAGTTGTGTCAGCAAGGGGTGACCTTTAGAATTAGAAGGCTGTCTGGATATTTATGGACATACAGTGTATATATGAGTGCCTTGTTCTTAGATTAAATGGTTTGTGTGTTGTAGCTTTGTGTATTATAATAGAGCATCACCGTAGTGTTGGTGATTAGTGATGACATCCAAAGAATGTTTGTCTGTGGAGGCTGGAGGTCAAGGAGAATGAA